AAAATCACCAGCTCCATTTTCTCCAGCTTCCTGGTCACAGGCATCCCAGTGCTGGAAGCTGTGCATGTCGGGGTCTCCATACTCTTCTGTGCCATGTTCCTCATCACCTTGGTAGGCAACCTGACCATCATCACAGTTTTCTGGAGAGAGCATAGCCTCCATGTGCCCATGTATCTCTTCCTGGCCATGCTGGCTGCCTCTGACCTGGGCCTGTATCTTGTCACCATCCCCACCATGCTGCACATCTTCTGGCTGGACACTCGAGAGCTGACCTTCCCTGCTTGCTTCACCCAGATGTTCTTCACTCACACTTTCCAGGACGTTGAGTGTGCTGTAATTCTAGCCATGGCCTTTGACCTCTGTGTGGCCATTTCTCATTCACTGCGCTATTCCTCCATTCTCACTCACAAAGTGATTGCAAAGATAGGTTTGACTATTGGTATTCGAACTTTGACAGTTCAGGTACCTGTTCCTATCCTCTTGAATAGGCTGTGCTTCTGTCACTCCAACATAATTTCTCATTCCTGTGTGCATCCTGACATCACAAAGCTCTCCTGCTCCAATACCAGGGTCAATAGCATCTATGGACTCTTTGTGGTGCTCTCCACCATGGTTCTTGACTTCCTCCTCATTCTCCTTTCTTACGTGTTGATTCTGAAAACTGTGCTGAGCATTGCCTCCCATGGTGGGCGCCTCAAGGCTCTCAACACCTGCATCGCCCACCTCTGTGCTGTGGTTCTCTTCTTCACACCCATGATCTGCCTGTCTATGCTGCACCACTTTGGCCCCAGGCTTCCCTCCCACGTCTAAGTGACCATGGCCAACATACACTTCCTCATTCCTCCCTTGATGAATCCCATTGTGTATGTTGTGAAAACTAAGCAGATTCGAGACAAGTCCTGAAACTCCTGTTTAAAAAAAGCTAGAAAAACCTCAGGTCATTTTTTATAATTTAAATCTTATTATACAAATATAACCCTACTCTAAATGTTGAATCTGAAACTTAGTGGAAATTATATCTTTATATTGATATAGACAAAAATGAATGAACAGTTCCTAGTACATTTTACTGCAAAATTCATTGCCTGTAATTTTTTTCTTTCATCCTTAGCTGTTGTTAAAATTTATTTTATAACTTTTATCTCTATCTGCCTTTTCTTTCCTATGTTATCGTCAGAATCACTTTATTTCACAAAACATCACCATGGCAATGTTCTTAAATTTTAAGGATGAATTGATTTCTTTTTTCTAGTTTTTAAAATTGTTCTATTAGTACAATTTTTAACACAAAATGATCACGTTCATGTACAGACTTATTCATGTATGTAACACGTCTTAATTCTTTTCTTTGTCTCTTCTTTTTTTCAAAGAGAAACAAGATATTGAGGGAAGATAGAGGGAAGGAAGGGCAAAGGGTTTAAAATAAATAGAAGGAAATAATTAAAATAGGGAATTTACAAATGGGGAGGGGAAATAGAAGACTTCTCTGTCTGAGGTTCTAAATGTGATGCAAGATAATTTTGGGCCAGCAAAACTAGGGTTCAGAGAGATTTATTTGTCTAAGGGGTAAGATAACATTGGCCTGTGTATGATGAAGATGCAAAGCTGGTTTCATGTTCTAAGCTGATATCATGCATTAAACTGAGTACCTAGCAAAGGCCTACAATGATTCTTTTAAGCAGTTCTGCCCAGCACAGGCACACTTAAGTTTGCTCTGAAAGCCAACCCCACAGAGGTTGGGTGGGCCTCCAGGGAAACGCAGAGCCAAGGATTTATAAACCTGCTCACTTGGTATGATGCTCAGGGAGGAGTCTCACAAGGCCCCAGGGTTACCAACCTTCACCACCAACCTTGTGTGCTTGTCCTGGAGCCTGGAGAGTGATGGAGACATGTTAGGCAAGGTTAGTTAAAACCATGTCTTGTTTGCATCTGGGGCGGGAGTCAAGAGAAGTCGTGGGGTTTTCCAGACATGGTTTCCAACTGGGTGTGAGGATTTCTGAGGCCCAAAGGGCTCATGTGAAAAGCATACAGCACCTCTGCTGCTTTTATAAGATAATTTCTAGAGGGGACTAATGAATAGAGAGAGGAGTAAGGGAGGAAGAAAGGGGAAGAAAATTAAGATGTGTTATGCACAAGCACCAACTCCCCAGGATGTATGTAATCATTCTGCACTGCAAATGTGTGCTAGTACAGGTAAAAAATACAACTAAAGTATAAGATAAATTTTAGCTTTGAGAAACAGTCTCTGAAACTTTTGTTTCACCCAGCAGTCACCTAATTGTTACTTTTGGAGTTTCAGATTAAATGTAAGTCAAACTACTTTTATTTATGTTGTATATGGGGAACTGATAAATAATTGGAATAAGAAAAAGTAAAGGAACAAAGAGAGAAGGATGAAAGAAAGAATGGGGAGGAAAGAAGTAAAAAACGAGAAACACTATTTCCAATTCTCATAGAACACTGTAAGACAGGCAACACCAAGTAGCCATCAAAAGGACTTCAAACCAGAGAAGCAAATGGTAGAGATCTGTTTTTTAAAGTGACAGTTTAAAGTTCTAACAGTGTTTATCTTAGGCTGCAAGAGTCATTCTGAAAAATAAAACACTTCTGTATTAATCAGTGAATTCCTTTGTACTTCTCAGTCAATAAAATCTGACTGCAATTGTGTAGGGAATTTCTCAGTATAAGTCTCAGAAAGTTTAAATTGTATTTTCATAAATCTAAAATTCATACAAATTGCACAATCTTCTTTAAAGGCCAAGCACTGTTTAACAAAACTGCCATGTACTCTGAGTTCCCACTATTAATGCATTTAGGAATAAAAGTACATTATTATTAGCAAGATCATCCTTCAAACCCTAGCCCTCAATGTAAAGCCCCATGGTGTGTCTGGAGGTAGTAGGGATGAAATTATGTTGAATAAATTGTGTTCAATAACTTATTACCATTAATAAAAATACAGTGGCTGCTCATTTTCTTTCCCTGCTTTCTGATCTCATTTTAATACCCTGAAACTCTAGTATCCATTCTTCTGCCTGCCCAGGTATTTGTTCGGGGGAGCTCCTTCCCTTTGGCCTAATGCGGGGTGAGGACCACCAGGCATCTAAACTCATGACTCCAAGTACAGCAGGTTCTCTGTTCCGAGATGCATTAGATGGTGAAGTTAAAGCAGAGACATCTAAGCAGACCCCGGACTTTCCCATCTGTGAATCCCCCATCAGTTTGCACCTACCATTTGGGCTGCGTCTGGGGCTTTGTCTTTTCACAAATTTCTTCCCCTTCTATGATGGTTCAGGAAGCAATTTCCCATATAAGTCAAGATACTCTGCAAAAATTCTCTCAGAATTACTATATCTCTAAAGCCTCATTAAAAAAAAATAAATGCTAAAACAAGATTTCTACACTTTAGAAAATTTTCATTTTAATCACATAATTTTGCAAGGGAAAGTGCTTTTTCATGGTTCTGAAAACACATTCTGGTTAACAATCTTCAAGTAAAACGTCACATGTGGGTTCATGAATAAAAATCTATTATTCATTTTTTCTATTACTAATACTCAGAGTTTTCTCAGACCATCCACAGATAACCCCTAACAATCCCCATCTCACTAAAAGGAATATTCACAAGAATTGAGTTTTCTTTCTTCTATCATACTTCCTTTCTTAAATACAATAGGGTGTCTCTGATTTTTGTCTTATTTTTGTGTAACTATGTCTCTACTTCTACTATTTGTTTTAGAATTGTCACAATATTTACTTACTGCTCAGCTTATTTATTTCAATGTTGACACCTTTGGTGACTCTTCCTAGATCTCTTTTTGAGTTCCTTAGACCAACTGTTGTCTTGCGGATTTTGTGCTGCTGATATCTTTCCTAACTTTATGAGTTATCCTTAGAATTAATTGATTTTGAAAAAATTATAATATAATGAAGATTTTTCTAATGGTCATACATGATGCATAACAGATTTCCCTAGAATATATTGAACCCTCCACTGTTAAAACTTCCTTGGATGTTGAGACAGGAAATCACTATTCATTATTGAATTTAGATATATGACCAAGGTTTCCTTTGAGCTCTATGCAATTGAATTTCAAAATTTTTTTCTTTAGCCAGTGTTTCAGACAGTAAGTAGGATTATTTTCAAGAAAGTGAATTGTATCAGAATGTATATTCACAGGTGAGGTCTTTTATCTACCCTATGGCCAATGCCCTCTTGAGCTATTTCGTATATATATATTCTATAGTGACTGCTATGTTATTACACATTTAAAGGTCGAACCTACATACTGTCTGCTATTGCCTAATATTTAGTACATAGCAGAAGCTCAGTCAAGGTGTGATGCTACTGACAATATATTTTGTACCCAGCTACAAATGTTGCATAGTCTCATCTTCTACCCTCATGAAATCACATTAGGTATTCCAACAGTTTTAGAGAGGATCACATAGAAATATTGAGAAGGAATTTAAAGCAAGCTAACATTGAATCCACCATTTCTAATGTTTCTTGGGCAAAATTTTTACTTGCAATATCTTGGGGTCCTTTCAGAATAAAACATATACTTGGTATCAGGGATTCAAAGTCAGTATTAATTAGTTATCCTTGACCTTACCATGTAGCAATGAAATATAATTCTCTTTTAGAAGAGTGCTCTTCTACTAAAAATAGTCAGGCTCCTGCACTTGGGTCCTGTGTTCTCAGCATGAGGTTATACTTATTAACTTTCCTACCTTGAAATGTCTTGGAAATAAGGAAGATATTTAGGAATGTTCTCTTTTTCCTTCTTCCTTTTTGTGTATTCTTCATTTTAATTCTCCAAATATACTAGTGAAAAGCAGAGAAAACATCTGAGACATGAGACTGTACCATTTCATGATAGAAACCTGTAAAGCAGTGGATCTTAGTGTAAAAAAGGGGGAATGTTCCTTAGTAAGCAAGAGGGCGATGCTGTGCTAATGTGGCTTCTGGCTTTATTTACAAATCCCTTCCCAGAGTTATGGAAATCCCTGAAAACAGCAATGCGAGCAGCTTCTTCTTCATATTGATGGACCTCCCTGGCTTGCAGAAGGCTCACTGTTGGACAGCTATTCCTATCTGTGCCATCTACGTCCTCTCTGTGCTGGGCAACATCACCATAATGCACATTGTCAAGACTGTGCCCAGCCTCCACACACCCATGTACCTCTTCCTCTCCATGCTGTCCATGGCTGACCTGGGACTCTCAGCCTCTACACTGCCTTCCATGGTAGCTGTCTTTTTCCTGGGCCAGAGGAAGATAGGAGCTGCAACGTGCTTCATGCAACTCTTCTTCATTCACACCTTCTCTGTCATTGAGTCAGCTGTTCTGTTGGCCATGGCTTTGACCACTGCGTGGCTGTACAGGAGCCTTTGCGCTATGCCACCATTCTCACCACCAAGCGCATCAGGGCCATTGGGCTCACTGTTGTGACCCGTAGTGCCGTCCTTCATCTACCCCTGCCTGTGCTCCTCAGCAGACTGCATTTCCAGCCTGTAAGTGCTCTGTCTCACTCATACTGTGTCCATCCTGATGTTCTAAGGCTGTCCCTTTCAAGCACTCTGGTCAATAGTAGCTTAGGACTCTTTGTCATGCTGTCCACCCTGGGAATGGACGCTGTCCTCATTCTGCTCTCCTATGTGCTGATCTTAAAGACAGTGCTGAACATTGCTTCCAATGCAGACAGGCTCAAAGCTTTCAACACTTGCGTTTCCCACATCTGTGCTGTACTTCTGTTTTATACCCCACTGGTGAGCCTGTCCATGATCCATCGCTTTGGTACAAAAAAACTACCAGCTCAGGTATACATGTTTCTTTCCTACATGCACTTTCTTATGCCTCCAGTGCTCAACCCAATAGTCTACAGCATCAAAACCAAAGAGATTCGAGTCCGCATTGTAAGGATGCTTCACCCCAAAAAGTGATGAATCACAGGGATAAAATATTTTTGGCGATTTCTAAATCCTAGATAAGCCTAGAAAAGCCTGATAGCTGATGAAGTATCAAGTCTTGGAAAGTATCAGAAGCTGATCCATAAGTCAATTATTTATTCAAAATACTGATTAAAATACATCTGGTGTTTCTCCAATGATCATTACTGTGACTGTATTGTGGAAAGCTCTATGTCTTACTTCACAAAAGCCAATCTCATTCTTGAAAGATCCAGTTTAATATAACTTTTAATATAAATAACTTTTCCAGATAATACTAGATATCTAGATGCAGACAAATTATAAGACTAAGACTTGATATTTCAGATCTTTTCTAGTGACACCCCTGAAATCTAACAAAATTAAACTCAAGAGATTTATTTGTTACTGCTTTGAGAAAATTTGGTATATATATCATAAAATATGCTTTTTATGTAATTTTTTAGATACTAACCTGATTTTGCTGGAGAGTATTAATTGAACAAATTATTACAAGAGTTTTAAGCATGTTTGAATATTAAAAATATCAATAACCTCAATATAGTTTCTCATAAAAATTATGGAGCTTGACATTTTCTTAAATTTCATAGCATGAAAGTTAAAAGTCATTGTTTTCTAACTCTCTAAATAAACTGAAATCATTGCTATTTACTTCCTACTAGATCTGTGGAAATTTCTGTGAAATTTCTGTGAAACCAAAAAGTCATGCTATATCTCTTCAAAAACAGACTCCGTGTGCTCTTATGGAGTGAATTTCCCTTAAGGAATTAGGGAAGAAAAAATTAGTAGATACATTAGAAGGCCATTTTTAATAAAAACTGAGTAGGACCACATAGAAAAGTCCAAACTAGAGATATTAGATTCTTCATTTCTTAGGGTAATTTTTCTGGAAAGAATTTTCAGTTTACTTCTCTGCTAGAGTTGCTCTAATAAAAATATAACTTCCTATTGGTCAATGAGGTCCCTTAAGTGCTAATTATTTGTGTCACATTCTTATTGAAAAATATATGATGGAAAGACATACATTGCCAAATTTGATTGTCCATCTACCTAATAATTCATTGAAAATATTTTTATTGAAATATATTGTGTCATTTTCCACTCAAAATGCAAAGAAAAATATCAAGTGTGAAAAGTTGAAAATATTACAGAAATATCCTGTAAACATGTAATTTTCCAATGGGCCATAAATTATTTGTTATTAGAAAGAAAATCATATCACGAGAACAATAGAGGATGTACCCACTTAATGGTTGTGATTTTAAGAGACATCATTGAAGTGATAACTTTAAATTGGAGACTAAAAAGAGGGAAGTATTTTGCACATGAATACGGATATCCTTGACATGAATCCAGATATCCTTGACATGAAACAGATATCCTTGACATGAATCCAGATATCCTTATCCTTTATCATTCAATAGATTTTCCTTAAGTTTTGCATTCAGAGGCCAAAAATAGTTACAGTGTTCCACGATATTTTCCAGTTTCTGGGACCTAACTGTTGGGTCATGCTTTAAATCAGTCAACAATTTCCCATGTCTTCGTCCTCTGGTTACCCTCAGCCTTTCCATGTATATGAATGCTCTAGGTCTATATGCTATAGGTCTAGTGTCAGTGCATCGATGATAACTTTGGTTACCCTTGTGCCACAGTGTTTGGATCATTTTATTCTCCATGTTCAACTATCTCATGCATGTTTATGTTACTAATGTTTTATTTAAATGGCTTTATAATACTACACATATTTATGAGATTTAATCTCATTAATTTTACATATGAACAAAGCTATAATTTTATCACTAAAGTCAAGATAATCAGTTTATCCATCAACTCCATATGTTACTTGTAGCTCTGTTATAGCTTCTCTTGATACTTTTTCTACTTGTCTTGTCTGAGAGGATACTTTGTTAATATAGTTTATTTTATGTCTCCCTAGAAATTTAAATAAATATACTGAACTTCTATTTTGTTTTTAGTATTATTTCTTTTACTCAGCTGGACTGAGTGGTCCATATGTGTAACTATTTTATTTTTGAACACCATAGCTCCATTAAAAATAAACTATGATTTGCATGAAAATAACTAATTAAATAAAAATGCATTTACCATTAACAATTTGCCTCATGCATACTTTGTGTTCTTTAACATTGGCACAATTTTAAAACTGAAATCATTTTATTTCACTTTGAAAAATTTATTTAACAACTTTAGAACTTGTATTAATTTTTGCTCTACTTTTCTTCATTAAAGAAAAAGTTTACCTTTAGGCTTTGTAAATTGAATGGTAATTTTGTTAGGTTTTTCCGTACTGTTTTAAGACAGTCTTTACTCATAAGTTCTTGCTTTGTTAGTAGGAATTTAGAATCCTCTTTTTTTACAGTTTATTTTCTTATCAATTTATCATTTAGTTTTTTCTTTCTTTCTTTCTTTCTTCTCTCTCTTTCTTTCTTTCTTTCTTTCTTTCTTTCTTTCTTTCTTTCTTTCTTTCTTTCTATTTCTTTCTTTCTTTTGGACACAAGTTCTTTTAATGAAGTTCAGGCTGGTCTTGAACTCACCACATAGGCCAGGTTGGTCTCAAACTCCCAGGTCTCTTCCTGATTCAACCTCCTGAGTACTGGAATATACAATTGTGTGCCAACATGCCAAGAGTTTCCTAATCATTAATCTATACTTCATTTACAAACAAATTTACCAATTCATGTACAAAGTACAGGTCACTTTATGCCTGTCACTGGAGTCCTGAGCCAGAGCAGGGATGTTCTGTGTTCTTGTCTTACTGTGGGTGAGTCAATAATAATATGTGGCTTAAAAAAGAAAGTAGTCAGCATTTTTCCTAGTGATCACTTAAGTGCTAAAATATGTGAGTTATGACTGTAAAATAAAGCAGTGCTTGTTAAAAATCTATTCAGTCAACACATCTGTGTGTTTAAAATTAAAACTTTTACATTAAAGATGTAGAGAGAGAAAAGTGACTCTATCTCCAGGTACCTCCAGTGAGCTGACAGATGACTTTTCTGAAGAATGCTGCAAAAGTGCTCTCATAAAATAAATCTAGTTACATATGTAAGTGGGGAACAAACTAGTAACTCACTAGCAAATTCTGCTTGCTCATATGTATTCTACTGAATCTCTAGGAGGACTGATTCCATGTGCCTCACGAGAGAACAGCGGGAAAGTGTAAGGAACAGTGTGACATGGGGAGTTGCTGAATTGAGACAGTGCAGCTTATTTTTCTTCTTAAAAATGGAAAGTGAAAGAAAGATTATCTGAGTCATAGACTATAGGTGATCAAGATTTACTGCAACTCTTGGTAAATCTTTGAATAATCATCTGTATGAAGGTTTCTTTCATTTTTCATGGTAAGTACAAAGGGGAAACTTAAAGGATAAATATCAGCATTAGTACTCACTTCCTAAAAACTTCATAAAATACTAAGAATTCTTTTTAACAATTGATTTTTATCAATAATTATATATATATGTCAACTATATGATATAATAGTGTATCCAATTTCTTTTCAGATGTAGGAAACTTAAATTTGCATGGAATCATATGTGTAAATATATACATAATGTGAGAGGAAACTCCTTTGTGAACATGAGATTCATGTTCTCATTATTCTCTTTTTACTGTCATGGAAAATATTAGCCCTTATTTTTGCTGCGGTGAATTCAGTTGTGGTTGATAAGTAAATGAACATTAGAAGATTCGGCATGGCTTCCTCCTTCTCTGCTTTATGACGGTACAACCCTACAGCTGATACAAATCTATGAGCTTGCAAAAGAAGTAGTTCCCCAAAACAGGAACCCCACTGAGTCTTCTTAAGACTTTGGAGAAATAACTAGCTTAAATCTAAGTTTTCTCCTATCACTGTTTTTTTTCTCCTGTTTCTGGATTGAAGACAGAACTAGATAGATCTTCTGAATTTTAAAATAAGTTTTTCTGTTTCTTATCATTATATACCTTCAGTGAACTCATATACTTAAAAGTTAAAACAATGGTAATAAACAGCAACCCCCCACATACATATTCATGCAGTCATCTGAAATAAATTGATAAGAAGTAATAGACTCCACACATATAAGAGCAGCTTGTTCCCTTTTATTCAAGGTTCCTTCTTGAATGGCTAAGTGAAGTAAACTCAGGAATCTGACTCAGTTTACACTATGGGCATTTGGTTTAACGTTCATCATAGACATGGAGTGAATCAAGGGAACTTTAAGTTATTAATGACAGATGTCTAAGTTTCTTTGTTAAGAAACCAGTGCAGGGTGACTGCAAAATGGAGAATTCAGGGACAGAGAGCATTCCTATCTTTCACTCAAAAGCCGGTTTCTCCCAGGCAGTGTTCTCAGACTTTCTTTGTCTTATTTCATAATGGCCAGAAATTCACAAAACTTTTTGAAGAAAGAGTCTAACAACTTGATTCACTTGCAACAGGAAAGTTTAGCAGCCATACAGGTTACTGCATTAACAATTCGATACTTTCACAAAAGTCATCAGAAAAACAGTAGTAAGGTTATCTATCATCACATTATATATCTACAAGATGAAACGCTATGATAAAATATTTTAGAGAATCCCAGGCAAAGACTCTGTTGTTGTCTGAGCATGTTTGCTGCAATCATCTCAGCATTTTCTTTTGAGTCCAACCTTCCTCTCAGCTGATAACCTGCACGTTTTCCAAATGTTCTTGTTTCACAGGACTTCAATAGTATTGCAGGGAGCTGTTTGCAGAGCAAAATTACACTTAATGATGCACAGCATGGTTATCAGACTTTGGTGTGCGTTAAACTGTCCTTGAGGGATTGTTGAAATACTAAACACTAGGCTTCCACTCAAGAAATCCTGTTTTATCAGGGCTTGAAAGAGATCTAATAAATTTTCTTTGGTGGAAGTTACCATGCTCAATTGTGTGACTAGTCCAGGGTCCAAAGATTTATATCTAGTATTTAGCACTGCAGGGTGCTGACCTCCACCCTGTCAGGTGA